ACCCTGAGCCGGTGAGATTTGAACCGCTGAACTGCTGATCTAGCAGTAGCCTGCAGTGCTGCATTTAACCACTGCGCCACCTTGGCTCTTAGTCATGAACTAAAGTTTTTTTTTCCCCTTACATTCACAAATATACATTCTTATAATTGCTATTTAACATTTGTCTCTTCATCATTAGTCTCAATAATTATTTTTACAAATATATATAGAATACAGTTTGGGTCACTTTATTCCCACCCCGTGCCTTCATCTTATTTTACAACAACCTTGCTCCTTCCTTCTTCTCAACCTCCCTTCTCTACCTTCTTCTTTCCTCCTCTCCTTCCTTTCTTCTTCCACTCTTTCCCCCACTCCTCTCTTCTCCTTCTTACCCTCTCTCCTACTCTTACTTTCCCTACCTTACTTCCTCTACTTTATTCTTTCTTCATTTCCCTCTTTCCCCCACTCCTCCTCTCTTCTCCTCTTTCTTACCCTCTCTCCTACTCTTACTTTTCTTCCCTTACTTCCTCTACTTTATCCTTTCTTCCTTTCCCTCACTCCTCCTCCCTTCTGCTCCTTAGACCAGGGGTGTCAAACACAAGGCCCACCGGCCAGATCTGGGCCACTGGATGCTTAGATCTGGCCCACAGTGCTGCCCTGAAAACACCAAAGGACCGGCATGTGGTGCCTCTGCCAGCAAAAACAGAACTCGGGAGGGCTGCATAAGACCCTCCCAACTCCATTTTCCCTGGCAGAGGGTTACAGGAGGCTGTTGCAGCCGAAAATGGAGCTCAGGAGCCCGTTTTCGCTGGAAGAGCACTCAGGCCACCACAAGTGCCCCCGATACGAGTGCCGTTGAGCTGGCCATGCCCCCGCTCCCCACGAGGTCGAACACCTCGATGTGGCTCTCAATAAAATTGAGTTTGACATCCATGGCTTAGACAAAAGGATTCTCCCATCACCTGCGACCTTCTTAAAACCAGAGTGTTCATAATTTGTAAATTATGAACTTTTTTGACATTCTGGGAGGTCCGGTGAGGCGTTTGTTTGTTTGTTTGAAGGGGCTAAACTTCAAAGTAAGGCCCAGGGGCCAGATACAGCCTGTCAAAGCTATTAGTCCAGCTCGCATAGGCCCACGAGGCTGCCCCGCCCTACATCACCCCACTCCCCCGCCAGTCCCCACCCACCTTCTGGAGGCAAAAAACAGACGCGTGGAGGTCTCCCCGGGAGAGGGAGAGAGAGGGAGAGAGAGGGAGGGAGGGAGATATATATATATATATATATATATATATATATATATATATATATATATATATAT